AGAGAAGGGATTTTGTGCACTCTATGAATGTATTACTTTTATCAATTAAAGAAAGCCACCCAGAAATTCTATTATACATATCAGCTGTAGGCAAATTCTTCCTATTACAACACCACCCCGCCGCCTAGCATATTCTCTCTAACATTCTATATTTCTAGAAATTTTAGGGGATGTTTTGTTGGCTTCACTGGTATAGATATTTAATTCGTGCCTGAGTTAGGCCTTTGTCGGGGAGGGTGACATTTTAGAAATGGCTTAAAAATCAGCTTATAAATTTGCTCTATAGATATCAGAAAGAAGTCCCGGCCTATTTTCTTTCTTTTTTTTTTTAATGTATTTATTTATTCATTATGTATACAATATTCTGTCTGCGTGTATGCCTTCAGGCCAGAAGAGGGCACTAGACCTCATTACAGATGGTTGTGAGCCACCATGTGGTTGCCGGGAATCGAACTCAGGACTTTTGGAAGAGCAGGCAATGCTCTTAACCACTGAGCCATCTCTCCAGCACCGCCCCCCCCCGGCCTATTTTTTATAACACATTTCTATAGTATTATCTATCCCATCCAAAGACGGGAGAAAGAGAGGCAAGAAGACGAGAGAGCAGCAGCAGAAGGGAGGAGAAACTTAAGTTCTAACCTTGGAGGGTTTGTATCCAAACAGCATTACAATCGCAATCTTAAAGTCCTCTCGACTCAAGTAGCCTTTGTTGTCTTCATCACAAGCTTTAAATACCTAAGGAATATTAGACACCTACAATTAATCAGAAGCCAGAAACACAGACATGTAGAACCCAAGCTGGTTGTGGGGCTTTTAAAATGCGGTTTAATTACCCTAGTTTTCATTCTCAAGCAATAGAAACGCTGAGTTAAGCTCGTCTCTCTGGCCCCCACCCCCCCAAAGTTTAAGCGGCTGGATCTCTAGACTGACAAATCAACTCATCTAAGTCATTGAAATAAACCACACAAAAGGTCAGTCCTGGGATTCGGAAGGTGATGCAAAGTGGAAGAGAGAGGCTAATGCAGATAGGGGTGTGGCGGGCAGGGAAATGATCAGAGTCCTGCCGCTGTAACTTGGTTTTAAGCACAGTTCTTTTCAAGGCCTCGCTAAGGGAGGCCCAGGAGCAGTGACCGAAGTGGCCCTGGTCAAGCTGAATCCGAACTCGGGTCGCGTTCCTGAACCTACTTCCACCCATTTCCTGCGTTCCGAGGCACTGGCTTCGCATGCCCGCGGCCTGGCGCCTGCCTCTGACGAGAACATCGCCACGGACACCGAAACCGACGCCGCCCAGGCAACCCGGCACCTCCAACTTCTTCAGAGGGACCGCTAACTTCCCACCGCGGCCACGCCCACCTCCGCTGGGCCTCAACTTCGCCCGCGCAACTCCAATGTTTCCTCCCATTGGCCAGCCTCCGAGCCACTGGCGTTGATTTCGTAGTGTCATTGGTCAAAGGGGCAGTTTAACAACAGGGAGGGGCCCCAAGGCACGCCCCCGGCTCTTAGTCCCGCCCCTTCTCGGCTTTCTTGACTCCTTGAACGCCGCTGAGGGAGACCTGGTGACTTTAGGTTTTTTTTTTTTTTTTTTTTTTTTTTGACGTGATTTGATTGCTTTCAGGTTTTCTACCAAACTTGCGATAAACTCCCTTTGATTAGTTTGACCCATGTCTTTTCTAGACTTTGTAGGAGACAAAAGAAGAATGTGAAGAAGGCACACACACACACACACACACACACACACACAAATTAACTCCAGGATTCATTTTTAAGCCAAACCACTGCACGGCGTTCTCAGGACAGCTACTATGTTTATTTTCGCCCTCTTGGTAACCCCAGCACTTAACACTGACTAGGACAATTAAACGAAATGACCCGTTAGAGTGTTTACACAGAATTAGTCAACCCCCCGGGAAGCAACGAAACTGACTCAAGGAATAAAACAAAAATCCCACAGTAGACGTCTTTATACAAGATGAGGAATAATGAATGCACTAGACCTGCGCTTCCCAGACCGGCTTATACTAGACGTATCAACCCTTGTGGCAGATCGGTGAGATCGACGGGAACACGCCCGTTTCAAAGGAGAGTCATTCGAGATTTTGTATTTTATGGGAACTCGTTTAACTTTTCATCCCGCAGTAGATGTTAAAGTCTGCAGCAGCTGCCTTTTACTTCAGCCCACCTATCTGCAAAAGCATGCCGCTGTCTCAGCCCTGGGAGCCAGAGGCTGCCTGAGAGCAGTCCCAGAGAGAGAGCCCGGTGTAGTTTGCTAATTAACTAGGCGAGAAGCTAGCGGGCAGCTTTCTGTTTCTCCTTTCTTAAGTAGTCAACAGGAAACCAGCGTAGAGAGGGTGGGGGGAAACTAGGTTTCCCAAGGCGCCCATGCATCCCTTTTCTAGGTCTGCAGCAAATGCGGCGGGCTTTAGGACCCAGCGGTGAGCATCCGGAAGTGGAATCAGCCCGCTGGCAGGGCCGCGGCGCCGGCAGGTTTGAATCACGCGCATGCGCGGGCGCGCCGACGGGGGCGGGGTCTCGGCGGCGGAGGACTGGCGGGTCAGGTAGGTGTCTGCGGCTGCGGGCGCCGGCTCGGGGCGGTCTCTGGCGGCGGCGGTAACTCTGCGCCCGCCCTCCTGATGGCGGCGCGCTGGCCGCTGCAATCCGAGGTGGTAGTTAGAAGGCCCGCAAGGCTTGGGCGGACCGTGAGGCCGCGGTTCTTGGGCACGGTTCCCTCCTCCCCGAGCCCGGGATCCTGCAGCCCTTGCCCCCTGGGGCGCTCTGCAAAGGCGAGGGGCACCCCACGGGGTAGGCTCTGAGCCGCTCTGCCCTCAGTTTCCACGTCGGGGGACGGCCGTGAAATAGGGATTGTCTTAAGGGTGAAATGAGACTGCACCCTTGGAATTGTGGGCAGAGCTGAGCGCCCGGGAAAGTTGACAGCTTCACGATTTGCTTAGCGTACCCTCAAATTACCGACTTCTCCATGGCCATCTTCTTAAGCACCCAGTACCCCCAGCTCCTGCAGAAGAAGCGTCTTTATTGCCACGTGTTCAAAGAGATGTACCGGATATACTCATTTTAAAAGGTTAAACGGGCCAAGGCACTCCGGTTAATTAAAACACGGAGTGGGTGTTCCATTGTTTTTAGAATAAAATTCGCCTTTTAACCTACCTCACTTCTCCCACCCCCTTCTTTCTGGGCCAATCCTATGTTACAGTTAGAACCCTGTTACCACCTCCTGGCCATTGCAAGTCGGGTTCCGTCTATCTGTAATGCTGTTCACCTGTCCTTTAGCCTGCTGAATCCTTTTCGCTCCCGGGTCTCATATGCTGCTCCAGAAATGATTCCAAAGAAAGGTTATCCGTGTAAAATGTAATGAGCATCTAATCATCTTGACTTTTAGACTTCTTATGTGTTAATTTGTGCCTTTCGACCCAAAATTAAACTTGCCTAGATAGAAGCTGTACGTTGTTAACTCTTCATTCTCGGTTCTTAATTCTCCTAACTACTGGGGTCAGGGGAAGGACCGTCTTTTGTGGGGGTTTGGTGCAGAGGTCTCAAAGGTCTGTGGATCAGTGTAAATGAAGCAGAAATACCCCGCTGGGTCTGCTTAGCTGTGGGTAGAGGAAACAAAGTTCTAAATGGATGCTTTACTGCATCAACATGTGTGTGTGTGTGTGTGTGTGTGTGTGTGTGTGTGTGTGAATGGGTATGCAGTTGTGGAGTGTCTCCCTCTATTGCTCTCTTCTCTATTGTGTTGAGTCAGGGTCTCTCACTGAAAGGAAGTTGACAATTTCTACCCTGGCCATTGAATTCTGGCTGGATACCGGCTTGTCTTTACCACAATGTTGGGGTTACAGGTATAGGAATCACGCTGGGCTTTTAGGTGGGTGGTTGGGATGGGATAATGTGGATTGCAAACCCTCTTACCCACTGAGCCAAATCTCTAACCCTCCATGGACATTTTTTTAAAGATTTATTTATTTATTATGTATTCAGTGTTCTGTCTGTATGTATGCCTACTGACAAGAGGAGGGCACCAGATCTCCTTAGGGATGGTTGTGAGCCACCATGTGGTTGCTGGGAATTGAACTCAAGACTTGTGGAAGAGCAGCCAGTGCTCTTGACTGCTGAGCCACATCTCCAGCCCATCCATGGGCATTTTTTTCAAGGCCCTAATAAAAACCTCCAAAGACATTCTGATTCGCTGTCCAGTGAAAGGATTTCATGATTTTGTTTTTTATCTTGGTGCAATGTTTGCCAAATTTCATTGCCTCAACTGGGCTCCTAGTTCTTATTTATTCTCTTTACACATATGCTGTTATTTGCCTGATATTTATTTGAATCCACTCCTGTGTAAATACTGTCTTTGGCCGTTGTAGCTGTCATGGAAACCCAAGCTTCTTTCTGCTGACAGGGAAACAGGGGTTACAGGTGTGTGTAGAAGAGTCCAGGGCCCACCACTGTAGTTCAGAAGCAAAATGCAAAGCATCTTTTCCCCGCTACAGCTCTCTCCCTCGGTGACTGAAGGAGAGACTGAAGTGGAGTGGAAAGGGAGGTGCTATCAGTGTGGTCAGTGAGTGCCAGGTCCCAGGTGCCCCCACTGCAGGAAACAACCGGGCTGGTACTTGGGTGGGGGCAGGGGGTGAACCTATATTCTAGTTCTCATTCTTTTGACATCACCTACTGCAGCTGCGACTTTGGACTTCTGTTGTACTGAGCACTGCCTGCTAAACCACTGGAAGAAAGTCGTTAGTAGTCTGTCCTTGTCAGGCTGGGCCTTGAGAGCCTTTTGAGAGGTTTCAAAAGGGAGCTGATCCAGCGGTAAAATGTGATGCTGACCAGATCCAGTCCTCCAAATTAGAAGTCATTTCCTGCATGATCTTGACATTTGCATCCCGGCAGCCTCTCTTCAGCAGACCTTGTTTTGGTAATGAGGTTGGTGACCTGGTGGTCAGAATGACAAGGTACAATTTCATTAGTATGTCATAGAGTCTATTTGTCTTCCTAGTAATCAGCCCTTCAGCCAAGTTTTGAATGTCGGCAATCTCCAAACTTCAACGGTATGTGGACCACACAAAGGGATTTGGTTTTTGAGAAATGTCTTTTCAAAGATTTGTTTGTTTGTTTCATTTTACCAACTTGTTCTATGTTATTGGTAGGGATGCCCCCCTCCATGTGGTTCTAAAAAATGAGGTAACACTTGAGAAATTGTCTGAAGAGTTTGGTGTCAGTAGAGATGCTTTCCTCAGAGTGCTCAGGGTTCCGATTTATTGATCCACCTGGGGCAGAGTTGATGAGCATGTCTTTGCAAACTGTGCCCTTGCAGCAGCCGACATGTGAATGATAGATCAGCATGGCCTCTGTGCCAGGGTGACACAAATTGGTGAAATATTTCATATATTGGAGACGGGGGGCGGGGGAAGACTGGGTTTGGTGGTGCACACCTTTAATCCCAGCACTGAAGAAGCAGGAGCAGGAAGAGTGGTGTTCACAGCAGATCTGGACGAGATTCAGGGGGGTCCGAGACCTGCTCTTTGCTTTAAATGGAGAATAAATGGAGAGAGAAAGTCCCGGTACTTAATTTCCTTCATGGTTTTATTTTGAGCAATCTGGGGATGGAGTCTGCAGCTCCTCCTGAGCACTTTGAAGGGTCTGTTTTGTTTTTAGTTGTATGTGTGTGTGTGTGTGTTATTGTATGTATTCATGTGTCTGTGGGTGGTGCATTGTGCATGTGGAGGCCAAAAGACAACCTCATTATCCAGGCTGCCTTTATTTGTTTGGGGTTTTTGAATTTTAATTAAGAAATTTAAATTAGTGTACAAAGTATCATGTCATTTAGGAAGTGTGTTTTTAGTAGATCTGCCCGCCCCATCCTTCCCTGTCCCTGTCTCCTCTTTGATTTCAGGTGGCCTGTGTGGTTTTGCACCCTCCCATGTTCCCTCAGCATCTTTTACCATCTCTTCATATCCTTTCTAGGTTTTTAGGTTCCACTGACATTTGCATCCATTTATACACACACACACACAAACCTATATTCATATGAGAGAACACGTGCTTTTTATTTTTCGGAGTTTGAGTCACCTCATTTAATATAATATTTACCAGATCTATCCATTGTAGCACGCATAATAGAAACCCAGAGAAGGATATTGGGGTTCAACCTGAAGATCAGAAAATCAAAGCAGCCAAGCTGCTAGACAGCTCTTACCTCTGTGAAATCTTCAGACTGAAAGAGAGTGAGTTTCTGTCTCATCCGCCCTATATTCCTCTCTAGTGCTGGGATTAAAGGTGTGCACCACCACTGCCTAGCCTCTATGGCTGTTTTGCATTCTGGTCTTCAGGCAAGCTTTATTTATTAAAATACAAATGAAATATCACTACAGTCCATTGCCCTGAAATTTTCATAATTTTATTTTTCTTTACAGCTGAATAAAATTTCAGTGAGTATGTGTGCCACACTCTCGTTAGCCGTTCACCTACGAATGGGTGTCTTGCTGTTGTTAATGAAGCGGCAGACACAGGTGGCTCATGTTTGTGGTTTTTGGCTGGTTGGTTTCACTGGCTTGATACTCACCAGGAAGGCTAAACTGGCTAGCTGCTGACCCCCTTGGCTATCGGCTATGACTGTCCTTGCAATCTCCAGTCTCTGCAACTGAAATAGATGCATCTGACAACCCACTCAGATTAAAAGGGGGCAGGAGGGTTACTAGAGGAATGACTCAGCAGTCAAGAGTACATACTGCTCCTTAGAGACCTGACCTCGGTTCCCAGCATCCATGTCAGGGTAATTTACAACCACCTATAACCTTATAACTGACTCTAGAGGGATCCCAGGCCCTCTTCCAGCTGCCTGAGGGAACCTACACTCATTGTAGACACAGGCATTCACATATTTTTTTTTAAAAGAATTCTGTTGACTTAGTTTTGAAACAGTCTTTCTGTGTAGCTCTTGCTAGCCTCACAGTTGCTACATTGCCCAAGCTAGCCACACATTCAAGATCCTTTTGCCTCAGATTTGAGACTATAGGGTTGAGCTACCACATCCATCCTGAGAACTCTTAATTGAAGATTCTCTTACTAAATTCCTTGCTGAAGGGACCTAGCAGGCCCTAGCAGGGCAAACTTGTCTCTGGCAGGCATTCCCCTTCCCCCCATTCTCTGTTTTGCAAAGCCCTTAGCTTACATTCCTAAAGCTAGCCACCAAGGTCTGTTCCTTTATTTGCCACTTCCACCTCCTGCACCTGACCACCAAGGTCCAGCTATCAAAGTATTGAAGTCCAGTAATCAAAAGCCCCCTTTTGGTTACCTTAATTAATATGCCCAATCAAAACAAACTAACTCATCTTTACAAGGGCTTTCCTTTTCTCCCTTTATAAACCATCATTTATCTGTGGGCCACGGTCTGTCTCCTCTCTAGCCAGAGGCAGTACTTTGTCCCTCAAGGACAAATGAAATCTCCTTTGTGCTGCGAACTTGGTCTGGGAGTGACCAGAGCAAATTCCTTTCACTTGCTACACTGTCTTAGAGTTCAAGGAAGCTAGAACTCTCACCCAGGGTTCTTTATGTGGTCCTTTTAAATTCATAGGATTATATAGTCCCTTCAAAGCAAATCAGTCTGCTTAAGGGGTTCTGTCCACCGACCTCTAGGGTCTAGAATAAGGGGTGTGAGATACTTTTATCGCCCTGGGCACAGTACACCTGCCACAGCTAGTTTCTTAACCCGCATAGATCAGAAACTGTTTAGGAAAAACCCTAACCTGGGTGCTCACAGTCTCTAGAAATGAGCTGGGTTCATTCTCATAGAAACTAGCAAAGCTTTTAGAAAGCAGATTCGAGTTCAGAACACATGTGAGCCATCTGTTACTGCAGGGGCAGACACCCCACCCGTTCTGCAGCCCCCACACTTTGGCCGTTTGTGCTGTCCAGGACAGCTGGAGGTAAGTGTACCCGTGAGCTATGAAGGATGTCTTATGTTCTCTGTGTAAGAGCTCCTGGGAAAGTGTAACTCCAGAAGAAACCTTGTGTGAATCAACTGGGATTGATTGAAGCTGGGTAAGGGAGAAATTGGGAAACGTGATGGATACTTTAAAACTATTTTTGGTTTGTTTGTTTAGCTTGAAATGTGCATGTATGTCACTTGAAAACCTGCCAAAAGAGCACGCTTTTCTACTTCTGAGACTTTGTTGGATGTTTCTTTTTGTTGTTTTGTTTGGGAGAGGTGGGTAGGTTGGTTGGTTGGCTTGTTTGTTTGGTTGGTTGGTTGGTTTTGGTTTTGGGTGGGTAAGGGTTACAAGTCAAGTTCCTTGGAGTACTGCTTCCTTTTTGTCTTTGTTACCCTACCCATGAGGCATCCTCTTCAGCTGTGAAACAAGCCTTGCAGATGCCCAGGCCCCAGGAGCACGTATTTCTGAACATTTATTTAGTTTTCTCTGAGTTCTGGCATCACATGAGGGAACTGCAGGAAAGCCCACTTAGCTCTTTGCTGTGTAGCTCGAATGCATTTTGTAGCCAACACCAAAAGTCCATCTATCCTATATTTTGCTCTTCTGAGAGCAAGAGGGTATAAATTAGACCAACTGTGCGGTTTGGAAACTGAAAGTGTTTGGCTTCAGTTCAAGTCCCGGCCTGCAGGTTACAGTCATTTCAGTCACAGCCCGGCCAGTAAGATAACGATCTGAAGTAAGCTGGTCCTCAGTGTGTATAAGCTGTACACGCAGAAGTGGTCACTTGGCATTCCTCGTGGAGACTCGCCTAAGCTAATGTAGGCCCCTGGCTTTGGAAATGGAAGTCTGTGTGTACCTGTACACACATGAAGATAAATGTGTAAATTCCACTTTTACTTTAAAAATTGGAATGTGGGCCAGCGAGCTGGCACAGTACGCAAAGGTGCTGGCTGCCAGGCTTGACTTGGTATGTTCAATCCTTGGGACCTACATGGAGAGAGATGAAGTTGTTTGCTGACCTCCATTTGCACTGCCTTCTCCCAATAAATGCATATTTATATTTGAGCCAGTGGATTGGTTCAGTGGGTAAAGGTGCTTGCCACCAAGCCTGATGACCTGAATCTGATTCCTGGGTTCCGTGTGGCAGGAGAGAACAGACTCCTGCAAGTTGTTCTCTGACCTCCGCATCACAACACACCGTACCACTCCCCCAAACAGATAGCTGTTCCTATACACAATAGCAAGTAGAGTAATTGTTTTAAATTAATGGTGAGCTTGCCTAGCAAGCACAAAGCCCTAAGTTTAGCGCCGCCCCCCCCAAAAAAAAAACGAAGTAAAATGAGAAATAAGCATGGTCAGAATTATTCTTAAAAGTTTCTTAAGATGGCCTTAACCTTAACTCCCTTCCCAGGGTTTCTAAGACCAAGGTCTAGCTAGACAGACAGCAGGAAGAAGGTGCCCAGAATGCGCCCGTTAGTCTGTCAGCCCCACGTAAGAGATCCGGGTGCTAGAAAAAGAAGCTCAGCCTCGGGACAGAAGTCCTGCGTGTCTCTCATCTGACCGGGAATTTGAGAGCAGCAAAGTTACATTGCCAGTTGACTATTGAATAGAAAATAATGTTTCCATCATTCCTTTTCAGAAGTATAATGACCCAGGAAAGCAGCTATGGGAGGTGGACAATATCCAGTAGTGATGAAAGTGAGGATGAAAAGCCCAGACCTGACAAGCCGTCAACATCGTCTGTCCATAGGCAGGGAGCGGTGCAGGGGCCTGTGTACACCTGCTCAGAGGCCCGCAAGGTTGCACACAAGAGAAAGCTTTCACCTGTGAAGTTCAGCAATGCGGACTCAACATTGCCCCCCAAAAGGCAGAAGAGTGAGGCCACAGAAGGTCTCGGCTGGTGTCTGTCCAGTAGCGATGACGAGCAGCAGCTAGAGACACAGCACGACCAGCCTAAGGACATGGTGGTCCAAGAGAAAAAACGTTCCTCCTCGCCCAACATGCCTACCGCCCAGCAAGTTGTCCATCACAGCCCTCCTGCCAGCCATGGTCCCCAGAGGGCAGATGATGAGTACGAGACCTCAGGGGAAGGCCAGGACATCTGGGACATGCTGGATACAAGGAACCCCTTCCAATTTTACCTCACCAGAGTCTCAGGGATTAAGGCAAAGTACAACTCCAAAGCCCTCCACATCAAGGGTAAGGATGAAGGCTCTCAGGAACTGGTGAGCCATTTCCCTCTTGGTAAAGCAAGGAAGCACAGCTGAGAATGGCCTCTAAGAACCCATCTTAACTACTGGCGGGGAGGGGTGTTCACCCTGAGTGCAGACAGGGTTCTTCTCAAGGCCCCCATAGCTCAGCCCCTGGTAATGCTAGGCACAGTGCTTAGAATTGTTTATCTTTCAAGTGAAGACTAAACTTGACTGGTGGCGCTACTAAGTGTCACAAGCTTCGTGGTGGTTCCATATGGTCCCTGGGCCAGCAGCATCAGAATCACCTGGACCTTGGGAATGCCAGTTCTCAGCTCTATCTTAGATTCATCAAGTCAAACTCTCGGGGGTCTGGGCCTGCCACCCGTGCTTTCTCTAAGCCTCCAGGGACTCACAATGCCTGCTGGTGTTTGAGAGCCTTGAAAGTTGGTTTGGGTTCCTAGGACAAAGAAGCAGAAATGAGTCCTGTCGTGTGCAGGTGGATGCTTCAGGTATGAGGCAGAGAATGGTCGCTAGTGGTTTTCTGCATTCCATGGAGGAACAGCGGAAGGTGTGGACTCACAGGGCACAGGACCTCCCCCTTGGCCACTCATCCGAGCTACGGGTGAGACAGTGTGGGATGAGTAGATACGTGATGTGAGCACCTCCCGTATTCGTATGGCAGATGGACGCAATAAGCCTCCTGTCACATTAATGTTTCTCCTGGCTCATGCTCACGGCATAGATTGTTTATTCTCAATGTAGATTTTCTTATCAAATGCATGCCAGTACCCTGTATTCTCCTGTATGGTGTGTACATGTTGGTGGGCTTAATTTTATAGTAGTAAGTCCAGCTCTACAAATTTTTGAGCATCTCTTCTGTGGGTACCCTGAGATATATAAGATAGTTGCCAGTGGTTTTTGTGCTTTGTCTGGGAGAGCCTGACATAGGAAACAGTAGGGTAGTATGGAAAGACTGCTCTATGTAATACAATAGTAACAACTTGCTCTCAGCAGCAACATTTAAGGAGGGGGAGATGCCATCACGAGGGCTTTACATATATTCTAATTGTCAGAGCAGCCTAGTAAGATGATCAGATGTCCCTGGACATGTGACAGACCTGCAGTTCAGAAGAGTTAAATCACTTACCCAAGGTCACAGAGCTGCTAAATGGTAGAACTACACTTGAATCCAGTTCTTTTTGTATCTAAATCCATTCTGTTTGATGTATCCTGCTAACACTAGCCATAATTATAGGTTCCCTTAAATCTCATGGAGGACAGGGGCCTTCAAGTGGATCCTGGAAATGGGCAAAGTTTAAAAAGCTAGAGGTGCAGATGGGGGGGGGGTGAGCTGGAAGACGGTTTTACAACTTATCTCCTAACTCTGCTGGTCTTGAAATAAGGAGGAGCTTTCTTGCTAGTCATTTTGTTCTTTCAAACTCTTTGTACCCCCCACATCTGGCCCAAAGTCTAGAGTACAGGAAGCACCCAGTGACTGTCAAATAAGTGAACTAGTTCACTTCCTTCACAGAAGACACTCAGTAGGTACCAGCAACCTAGAACCAGACATCCTGGATCAAACCTTAGCTCTCTGACCCTTGCAGCTGGGTGGTCACACACAGCATCCTTCTGAGATGCTCCTTTTCCACAAAGGAAGAGTAACACTTGACCTCAAAACTCCTGGGAGGATTGAGTTCATTTATTCAATGCTGAGAATGGTGTCTGTCCCCTCAGAAGTCTTATGCAGGTGCAAGATGGTGGTGATCATGGTGCAGTTAGTGAACAGCACCCTTCCTAATCTGTCCAGAGTCAGTTCTGAGGGGAACCACGTGGGAATGTTCCCCAGAGGTGACCTAGAGTCCCAAGAATGTGAGTGTCCTGTTTTGGGAAGCGAGTACTCTCTGACTACAAGGGAGCAGCATTGTGGGCGTAGCTGGTACAGAGGGAGGTAAAGAGTCAGAGGTCCAGGAAGAAGACTAGGAATCATCAATAGAGCCCAAAATTAGGCAGTCATCCAGGACTTAAGTTTTAGATTTTACTTTTACATTCTACTTTCTCAAATGTAATAAATATTAAGTCATATAAAATATTTTTGTGAGTTTTTTGGAATATTGCAACCTAGCCTTGTATTAGCTTTTCAGTTTACTCTTTTTCTTGATTGTCACTGGCTGCTGAACGTGGTCGTTGTATAGAAGGTTTTTATCTGAGAATACATTTGTTTTGTCTTTGTAGATATTTTATCCCCTCTGTTTGGAACACTTGTCTCTTCAGCTCAGGTGAGTTTATGGTAAAGTGTCTTTTCTTTGAGTGAGGAGAGCTATGTGACAGGAGATGGGCTTCTCCGTCCTGTACAGTGTCCCCTAAGCTGGCGTCTGCCGAGAGCCTGGAATCCATGTTGTGGAATCCGTGCGTGGCATTTCTCACTTAAGCCCCATCAGCATAGAGCACAGAGGCCACTCAAAGGAAAATACCTGTCTCTTGACCCAGCCACAAGGACTGTCCAAAAAGTCACATCATATTCCTACCTGGAAGAGTTAGAGAAATATCTCCTCCCTCATGGTTTGCTGGTACAGCCCCCTGGGGTGACATGGTGAAGACCAAGTCAAATTTGAGTTGCTTCAGAAAAATGGGTGTTCTGTACTGACCAAAAAGAAGTCAGTAGAATTTGTGACTACTTCTGCATGTTCAGGGCTCTTGCCTCACTGAGCTGGTCCCTTGGTGCTGACAAGTCATCCTAATGGTCCAAAGGCTCAAGGTCTTATTTCTGAAGCAAGCAGAGGTGCCACCTTCCCGTATGACGTGGTCCTGATCTCTAGATAGAACCAAATGAGCTCTGTCCGTGCATTCTCTCTCAGCTAGACTTGAGGTCCTGGACCCAGGATTGGCCAGGCATAAAGAGGAAGCTTCCTCATAAATAAAACGCTTATTGAGTTGTGCTCAGTGGGTACTAGTTACGAGCAAGTTAGAGTGTACCAGGTTAACTGATAAGTTGTGCTAGGAGGAAATGGCCTTCCTAAAAGCCCTGGGATCTTTGTCTCTGACACCTCAGGGGAACTTGGTGAGCCCTGGACTATAGAAATAATGTAGGACAAATAGAAATGTTGCCGAAGTACGTGCAGATAATATCCGTAGAACCTATTTTGGGCATTTGGCTCCATTTATGCAGATCCCTTTAACCAAGTGTTCTTCAAGGTGAAATTTGGGGTTACTCTTAAATATTGCAGCATAACTGTCCAGATCTATGAACACTGTAGCATGTGGTTGCTTTAGAAACTGTTTGACAACAGTTCTTACAAACATACCTGTGCCTCACTCTTCTTTTTTGCCCCATCTAGTTTAACTACTGCTTTGACGTGGACTGGCTCATAAAGCAGTACCCACCAGAATTCAGGTGAGTCCCTTGATGCCAGAGTGTATCGGGATGCGAGCCTTGCAGCTCTCAGACTAGATACCCATCTCCCCATATTTCACTTGACATCGTGACGAACAGAAAACATTTATTTTGTGAGAACAGCATTTTATTCATTTAACTTTTGGAGGGAGAGGGAGAGAGAAAGAGAGTGTGTGTGTAGGCTTCAGTATTAATCTTCAGGAGTTACCTCCTCCTCTCTTCTTTTATATTTTAGTCTGTTTTTTGAGACAGGTTTTTTTGTTTGTTTTTTTTTCTGGTCCAGCCCCAGAGACCTATCTATATATCCACCTCCCCAGCTATAGATTACAAGTGTGTGCACCACTATGCCTGGCATTGTAGGTGGGGACTGCTTGTTCATTTCCCAGCTGCCCAGACCCAAAATAATCACACAGAAGCTATATTAATTGCAACACTGCTTGACATGTTAGCTTAGGCTTCTTATTAACTGACTATTACATCTTAAATTAACCCATTCTGTTATTCTATGTATTGCCACAAGGCTCATGGTTTATCAGTAAGGTTCTGGCGTCTGTCTCCTTAGGCAGTTACATGGTGTCTCCACCTTCTTCCTCCCAGCATTCAGTTTAGTTTTCCTGCCTTGTTTTATTTTGCCCTGCCACAGGCCAAAATAGCTTCTTTATTAACCAGTGGTAATAAAACATATTCACAGCATATAAAGGGGAATCCCACATCATGGCATCTTTTACACAGGTTCTGGAAATCCAACTCCGGTCTTCATGTTTACACTTATCAAATGAATTACTGCCTCTGCTTGAAAATGCTTTTTACGTATTTCATCACACACATTCTTTTCATAGACTTAGAATTTTCCACTTTGCTCTTTCCAGAAGTAGAAAAGGACAAATTCCAACTCAAGTAACAGGACTTCATGGGCAATGTTAATGTGAAAGAAACAGTTGTCTCTGTGTGGTATCTAGATATGTTCGTGTGCCCAGACATTGCCCACATGCCACGCTTAGCTCAGCACATCACAGCTGTTCTTTCTAACGGTCTTTTTGTGCCAACCCAAATGATTCTTCCAGGACTGTATGTGGAGTTAAGAAAGGGGACCGTGACCATCTCTTACCCAGTGCTGCTAGGTTTTCATTGCTGCCTCTGGCAATTCTTCAGCCTCCTGTGAAGCAATACAGACCAAGCAAATGTGGCCCTGCACGTGACACACAGCCATTTGTGTCTGTAACACAGATTTGTGCAGAATCCCCTAGCAGTAAGTAGGATGGAGGAAGACACAACAAGAAAGAAAAAATGTCATCTTCAAGACCTTGGTGCATTTAACACATCATTGTGGAAACCTCTGGCGTTAGTGTAAAACGTGGAAATTTCTCCATCAGCTTCGCCACTCAAGGGCTTGTGTTTGGTTGGAGAAAAGAACATTTGCTGTGATTGCATATTAACAGAAAACAGTAGCTTAAATTAAAAAAATAAGATAAAATAAATTCTTTGCAGTGTAAACTCCAAATGGTGGTTGTCTGTGGTGTAGATAGAGAGTGCCAGGGTTTTTTCTGTGACTTAACTACCCATTTTCTGTCATTCTGTCCTTCCCTCCTGGGGTTTGGCTTCAGTCTCTAGTCACCTGGTCCAGGATGACAACCTAAGATCCAGTCCACTTGTCTGTTTTCCAGGTAGCAGAGAGGAGGATAAAAAGAGGGAGCTTGTATTCCATGTGTGCCATTCTGCACAGTTCTGGCTGCTCCCGAGTAGCTTCTGTTTTGTGGAACTGAACTCAGTCACGTGACACAAGCCATGTCTAGGGCTGGATATGTAGTCTTCTAACTGAGTCCACCTTGAAATCAGTGTTTCGCTCAGAAAAGAGAGACTGGCTATGTGGGAGTAATTTGGTGCTTGCCTCTTGACAGCAGTCCCTGAACCACACACTTCATCTCGCTGTGTCCAATGTTGACCTTTTTCAGGAGTCTATAGCGTACCCTTTTTAGCACATCTGAATGGGCATACCCTGTGGCTGTCAGTCAACACCTCTGAATGGGCGTACCCTGTCTTGCCTTCTGCAGTATAACATAAGCGTGACTGCAGTTGTTTACTTTGCTTGGGTGCTTGTTTGGAGAAAACTATTTTTCTCGTTTGGGGAGGACTTGTAAAGATACATTGATTTCTAAGGATTAGCTAAAGAAGATGAAATGTCTCTTAAAAGCCCTTTTAAAGCCAGGCATGGTGGTTTGTATCTGTATTCCAGCCCTGGGGAGGCTAGAGAAGAGGATTACACAATTTGAGGCTAGTTTGGGTAGCACATCACGTTAAGGCCAGCCTGCACTACATTTCAAGACCCTGTCTCAAAATAATTAGACAGAAAAAGCCTTTTTAATGTGTTCCTAAAGAACATTTTATAGTCTTTAGAATTTGCTATAATTACTGGTTAGCAAGTTTGCACCTTGCTGGGGGGCTTGGGACTGTTCACTTTTGAGTCCTGGATCTTGCATGGTACATAGAGCATGTAATAAATGCTTGGTGAATAGGTGCAGGGAGAAATATAAAACATTATTGGTTTATGACAAGGAGGAAAGGAGACATCAACATCACTATACAGGAAATTTTTTTTACTAACTCTCATTTGTTTATTTATGTATTTTGTGTGTGTGAGCATGTATATGTGTGGATATTCACATGACAAAATACACTGTGATTAGAGGACAAGTTGTAGAAGTTGGTTCTTTCCACCATGTGGGTTCCAGGGCATCAAGCTGAGGTCAGCAGCCTTGTCGGCAGCACCTTTGCCCTCTGACCCATCTCGCCAGTCCGTGTCTTTGGTAGGCACCATCCGAAACAAAAGCACAGAACCTTCTCTGTGCTCTTTTGAACCAAGGAAGACTAATACTCAAGAATTTTGCAGAGCTGTAACTTGCCTGTATTACAGTTGGCCAGGCTTGGGAATCATGCATGAGCACTGGCAGTCACCTGATGTTAGCCACAAAGGTCTGAAACAAACGGCAGGGACTAGGCAGCTTTTGTTCCTCAATGAAGCAAGAAGCCAGCTTTGTGAACAATGCATTTTAAACATTTCCTCTCTTTTCAGGAAGAAACCGATCCTGCTTGTGCACGGAGATAAGAGAGAAGCCAAGGCAGACTTGGAAGCCCAGGCAAAGCCCTATGCAAACATTTCCCTCTGCCAGGTAAGCTGCTCTTGCTTGACCTCAGGCTGAGTTAATTGAGTCCATCCTCCCACTGTGGGCAGCAAACCCTCTCCCACCTTAGCGTTACCAACAAATCTTTGTCTGATTCCGACTTAAACACTCCTGAAGTGACTCCCTTCACTAGCAGGGACTCCCATGGTCAGAAAGGCCTTTTTCTTTAGCTTGACTTGAAGTCTCCTAGTGATGCTACATGTTGGTCCAGATTTCCTGCCCTCTCTGGAACCACACAGAATAATGTATGTCTTCCTGGCTGGTGCATAGACTTTTTTTTTTTTTTTTTTTTTTTTTTTTTTTGGTTTTTCAAGACAGGGTTTCTCTGTAGCTTTGGTGCCTGTCCTGGAACTAGCTCTTGTAGATCAGGCTGGCCTTGAACTTACAGAGATCTGCCTGTCTTTGCCTCCTGAGTGCTAGGATTAAAGATGTGTGCCACCACTGCCTGGCTTCGTGCAGAGATTTCTACATTTGAGGTCAGCTATCCTCTTCCCGTAGTCTGTCTCAGGGCTGAGCTCCCTCTTCTGTTGTCCGTGTTTAGTACAGCATGCTTCTCTTGCTCAGGTCAGCTAGCGCTTGGTTGTGCTTAGTTTGTCTTGTGCTTCTTGTAACCTGGATTTCAGCATGTGACCCGTCTCCCAGATGCAGCCAGTGGCTCTGGATCTCTTTGAATGCAGCTGATAACTGCTTCTGTGACACTTCTGCCTTCCGTTAGCCACCACTGATGCTTTAAGTTCTTTTCACATCAGCCAGAGAAATGGAGAGACCCATAGATTAACAGCCTGTTAGAAAACTGAAGGGAGCCCCACATGGCACAAGATCCCAGCGCAGTGAAGGGACATCGAGTGGTCACATACTGGAACCAAAGCAGAGAGGAAGATGGGACAACAGAAGCCGTTGTCCAGTTTCTCTGACTCTTCCATAATTTTGCCCTGTGCTCCAGTAGTCAGCCTGCAGTATGGTGATAAGCCTTGGGCTTTTGTTACAGCGGTTACTTTATACACTGCCTCTAGAAGGACCTATTTATTCCATGTGTTATTTTGAACAAGCAGGCAAAAATGGGAAGAAGAGGAGTTCAGGGGATTTTTGTCGGAAAGCGTTCGTTTCTGTGGAAATGGTAACTGTGAAGTAGCAGGAAGAACATCCACCATTTCCTGCCTCTGTCAGCATGGTTACCACCATCCCCGAGGAACCACAGTGAGCCACGGCTACAGTTTTCTCTCCTTGTCCTCACTGCAGTAAAGTGGGCGCAACGTTTCTGATCTTGGACTGAGGAGACGGCTCACTGGATAAAACACGCTTCCTGCACACATGTGTGTGTACACACCAGGGTTTTTTCTCTGAAAGTAGAGACATGATATCTGGGTCCCTTTCCTTGTAATTTTCCTTCTAGGTCTCTTTTCTCTCTCACAATGGGAGAGTTTTAGCTCACATTTGATTACGCTTCTTCCAGCTCTAAATGACGCCGATGATTCTGTTTTAAACAGAAGACATTAGGTCACTTTATAACACCCCACAGCGTTTTTCTCTGATTTAACCCACTTCACATCATGTCACTATGGCTTCAAAACGTGTCTTCTGGACTGTGGCTGTGGCTCAGTGCTAGAGCGCTTGCCTAGCGTCCACAAGGCCCTGGGTTCTAACCTCAGTATCACTAAGAAAATCTTCTCCCACAAAAAGTGTGTGTGACTCATCTTATGCACAGAGATATCTTTATGCCTTTGTTTAGAAGTTGCCTAAAATTCTGTTGTTTGCCTTGATTTCCACCGACAGAAGAGGTGGAAAGTAAACTAAAAGTGAACTGACACAGGAACCCTGAAGGCCCTGATGCAATCTTCAGACAGCCTCTACCTCACACCAGGTTTAGGATGGCCACTAGAGGGCGCAGAGACACACCTCTCACAAGCCTGTGTAAGAAACCCTACTAGAAACGCCTCTGCTCAGAGTCTAGAGGGAGACCCGAGAATCATGGCCCTGTCCTGACATACTGAAGTGCCTCTCCATCTTGAATTTTTCTGGTAATAACATTCATCAAGGAATCAATTGGGCAGAGATTTAGTGCAAGGGGCTGGAAATTGAGGTGACGGTGGTAGAGAAGGGTCACTTTGCCTGAGTTCCGCCTCTCGGCTCTATGCCTGGGCAACTGTACAACATTCCTGGATGGAAAACACTTTTATTTTGATATTGGGCAGCTTAAATAACGGATATCTAGGAAGCTGAGAATTTGAGTCCTAGTGCAGGTCACTCCGGCTCCTGATAAAGGTTCCTCCTGCCTTGTGGACGGCTGTATTCTCATGGTGTCCTCACACGGCAGGGAGAGGTGGGGGCGGACTAGCTCTCTGGTATCTACGAGGACACTGACTGTATTGGCTCCCCTCCTCCCTTCCCATGACTTCATTTGATTTTACTTACCACCATCAAGTCCCCCTCACTAACCCTGCCCCACTTGGGCTTTGGCTTTGACACGTGAGTTGGAGGATGGGCATGGCATGAACGTTCATTCCACGATGCTCATTCTGGCCTTGTCGCTTTCCATTTCTTTAAATCTAATTTGTCCGTGTATAAAATGGGTTGCTAATGGCATTCATTACAGCATTTGAAAGAGTTGATGCATTAGCCCAGAAAAGCCCGCATTAAAGAGCATCTATTGAAGTGACTTTCAGTCCGTTGTTTGTGCCTGAAAGCATGGAACGTGTGACCAAACTAAATTTAGAAGCCAGTTCTCTTAACCACTGCTTCTTCTCAGTTAAAAATCAGCTGATAAAGTGATTCTGTTATTGTAAAGACATGAAGTACAGTCTATAGCTTTCTTCTCTGGCCAAAAAGCACAGACGCACGCTGGTCTACCCATGTCCCCCAAGCTGCACAGACCTTCGGGAGCACCTGCAAACTGTGTTGAACCTGCTTGCATATAACAGTCTTCCATTTCTGTCCCTAGCAGCCAGCCCTGTCCTTCTGTCACGTGGTGGGGAGGGCTCCCTGAAAGTTCATATGTTTGTCTTGCTTACAGCAAGCATGCCTCTTTCCTGAGCACTTGTGTGTCCTTTCCCATCCTCTCCCAGCAACTACGAGTCTCACAGCAATAGCCTGTTTTAAAGAGGAAAAAGCAAAGCAGAGAAAGTTTTTCCCAAAGTCAGGCAAATATGAGGCAGGATTCGAGCCCAGGTAGTGTATTCCTAAACTGATCACTCAGCTGCTTGTGTATCCTATAACCTGTTCTTTCTGGCGTATTCTGTTGACCGACGTCTTGTTGTGCAAGATGGTAGATAAGATGGTAGATAAATGTTTATTTTCAACATGCCTACACCTACTTGTAAAGATGTCATTCCGGAGCACAAGGTGGGTTTGGCATCACTTACTTCCAGCTTGTGCTAGTTTGTATGAAACGTTCTCTTTTAATTTAGCATCATGATGTCTTTGTGTTGTCTTCACATTCAATGCTGTTTTAAATATATCCTTAAAACTATTCACCTTAATTTTTCAATAGAAAAAAATCTCATTTAAAATTAAATGTATCCTTAAAACTATTCACCTTAATTTTTCAATAGAAGAAAAATATCTCATTTAAAATTTTGTTTAGAATCACAATTACTTTATTAGGTTTTTGGCAGCTAAAGAAATTAGGCTTGTCACTCATAATTACTGTAGTTAAAAATGCAGTATGTATTAAATCGTGTGGGATAACAAAAAAAAGTGTTTTAAATAAGCCTTATTGGGTGCAGATGGTGGTGCATGCCTTCAATCCCAGCATAGCAGAGGCAGGTGGGTCTCTGAGCCCAGGCCAACCTGATCTACAGCCAAGGCTACATAGAAAAAAACCCTGTCTCAAAACGCCACAAAAACAAAACAAGCAGTAGTCCTCATTGTCCGCTATGTTCAGCGAGTCCAGTTTTATCCCAAGTTTTTTCAGACCCGGGCCAGCTGGCCTTGGTGAGTTCCCGATAGAACATCCCCATTGTCTCAGTGTGTGGGTGCACCCCTCGCGGTCCTGAGTTCCTTGCTCGTGCTCGCTCTCCATCTGCTCCTGATTTGGACCTTGAGATTTCAGTCTGGTGCTCCAATGTGGGTCTCTGTCTCTGTCTCCTTTCATCGCCTGATGAAGGTTAATATTCAGGAGGGTGCCTATATGTTTTTCTTTGGGTTCACCTTCTTATTTAGCTTCTCTAGGATCACGAATGACAATGGGTTTTTGATCCTACTGCACATACTGGCTTTGTGGGAGCCTAGGCAGTTTGGATGCTCACCTTACTAGACCTGGACGGAGGTGGGTGGTCCTTGGACTTCCCACAGGGCAGGGAACCCTAATTGCTCTTTGGGCTGACGAGGGAGGGGGACTTGATGGGGAAGGGGGGAATGGGAGGCGGTGGCGGGGAGGAGGCAGAAATCTTTAATAAATAAATAAATTTAAAAAAAAGATCAAGATTAAAAAAAACAAGCAAAAATAAACAAAAAAGCTGTCTTTTGTTTGTCCAACAGAGGGCAGTAAAACAGTTTTGTTTTTTTTTAAGTTGTCTTGGTTCCCTTCTCTTTAATTTCCAGTAGCTAGGAATAGGAATAGTAAATATTAAGTGAGACTTTTAAAATAAATTGTTTCTTTCTGTCCTAGGCAAAGTTGGATATTGCATTTGGAACACACCACACGTAAGCAACTTTGACGAAATGGGGGAAGGTGTGATTTTAATTGGTCGCAGGATATGAGCAAGGAGCTTTGCGAGCTGATCCCAAGATTCAGCATAGAAGCGTGAATCTGTGACTCAGGGGTCTCTGCCTTTCACTCAGGACATCGGGTGTGGCTGCTCAGAAGCACAGAATTACAAGCATGGTCCTTGTGATCACAGATGATTCTGTGTACACAGTCAGTGCTTACGGCATCCCTGCTTCTCAAAAGTTCTGTGATCTAGCGAGAATGAGTTATATTGAATAGTCTGGTATTAGTTATTGATCTTTTAATATCATAGACCAGAAAACTCGGGCTTAGAATAAATGAGTTGATTTTCCTTGGGGATGAAAATAGGAATTGAACTCACTTTTAACTTTAGTTTTTAATTTGTTCTTTGTTTGCTCGCTGCTACAACTGACTTTGTATCTACTCTGCCTCATTCATCCCTTGCTCCTCAGAGCAGCTCATACATGTGCATTTTGTAATCCAGCAGTTCTCGATTTGGAGAAGTTACTGGAGTAGGACCATTCCGAGCTAGGGAGTATCCATGGTTTACATCTGCTGAAATGTCAGTATCTTAAAAAGGCTGGACTCGTGTCTAGAGATCTGAATTGTTTGTTATTTTAAGAATTGCTCATCAATCCAGGGAAGATAGCACACATATGCCTGTAATCCTACCTTTTGGGAGGCTGAGACAAGGGATCAGTCTACATGAGATCCCCGTCTCACCAGAAAGTGACAAAAATTATTCATCAATATCTATAATGTTTTTGAGTGTCAAGTCTGGAGGATGCCATTTTGTCCTTGCAGCTTTTCATCTTTGGTGAGAGCACAAACCAGAGCATGTGAGGTAGAAACAGAGAAAGCCCCAGCTTGTGGCGATGAAGTAGACACTGTCTTCACAGCCTGGAGCTAACAACAGTGGCTGTGGCGCAGTTCCTGGGATGACACACGCCTGAGCAAGCATGCGTTGACCAGGCCATGGGTACCCTGTGCAGAGCACATAGGGCGTACAGCAATCCCAGGCACAGTGTGTTACTTGGTACTTTAGAATGGGAAAGCTTTTTGGTTTCCCAGAGTTGAGGAACAAAGCCAAAGCAACTGAATAGACCATGTCCTCATCTAAGCAGGGCCCAGCCACAGCCTGCTGGGGCATATTTCTTCCCGCCAACTTCTCCAGCTGGCCATCTTCTCACCAAGACCTCTTCTCCCCTTCATTTTCTAGTAGCATAAAATGTTCACCGTCTCACCTCTGGCTGTGTGCCCTACACACAGTGCCCTGGTTTACGGGTGTGGGTGAGTTCAACCATCTTCTACAGGCTCACTTGGTGACCTAGAGAATACTGTTTCCTCCAGCCGCAGATTCTGCAGTTGTAAAATGAGAATTGCTTCTTCTTGGCATTGTCTTGACACATGCTAGAGCATCCTAAAACAGTGCCTGGAATGGAGGTGCCTGGCATGCATATTCTCCCTTCTGCATAGCACACCTTCCCATTTAGGAAGCAGCCCTTTTGCTACCCCACTACTTAGGAACAGTACTGTGGGTCCACCTTTTTGGGGAGACTTCATTCCTTATCTCCCTATAGTTTTAACTATGACCTTACTAACACACATAATATTATCTATGAAAAGATTAATATGTCTCCCCTTAAATTAATTCTTAATTCTGTTTGATAGGATTCACTGACATTGATACATGATTTCCTCGTAATTGATGCCTTGATTAATGAAAATATTTGTAAAGCTTCTATCATGAGACCCTAGCTAGCTTATCCTTAATTATAATCAGCTGCTAATGTGGCAACTGTGTGTGTCAATTTGTCCAGATTTCAGGGACTGCATTTCATAACTACAGAGCAGATAGCTCAGCAGCTGTCATTTCTTGAGCCTTGCATTAATTTATTGTTTGCCCACTTGAATTACTTCCTCCTTTTGCTAAGAACTAAATGTCTCATTCTCTCTTCTGGTCCTGCCTTTCCTCTTATTTAGTTATCTTTTTCAAGAGGACCTTAGTCATAGCAGAGCACAGTCACACAAGGTCCCCTGAAACCTACCAGCCTAGCCCTGAACTCACAGGCACAATCCTGCCACAGCTTCCCAAGCTGCTAGAGTTACAGGCATGTGCCACCATGCCCTGGTTCCCTTCACCTTTATATACCTCCTCCAGTATAGCTTCAACTCGCGGAGTGGCTCATTTGGGGAGACAGAGCCTCGTTGTTGTCACATGTGTCTACTGAGATATATAAGCTAGTAAAAAATAGCATTTGGCCTCAGAAGAAACCATAAAAAAAAGCCAAGAGAAGCATTACAGCCTTGAGAATGAGACTGTAGTTCTGGAGAGAAGACTGAAGTCCCTTAATAACTGGACACTCTGGAGATAAAAGTCACCCAACACTTACTTACAAAATAAAGCAGGGCACCGAACAGGAGTGAATGCCCAAGTGTTTATTTAACCTTTACATTGTGGACTTTGATTTCATCGTCATCTGTCCCAAGTCAGGGTTGATCCTTCATAATCCACATGAAAAGAGGAGGCTCAGGATACTGACTGGTTCACTAAAGCTCCTGTGGCTTCTAAAGAACAGGCTCCAGTCTTTAGACTTCACATTGAGAGCTCTTGTGGATATCTCCTGTCCTCTCTCACTGGAAGGAAAGTTAAGAAAAATATGTTAGTGATGCAAGATGCCCCACTAGAAAGAGAGGGCTCAGTCCAGTCTCCCTTGAGTTCATGGAGGAGGAAAGAGACTTGCTTCAAGCCCAGGCACACAATGGTGACAAGTATGGCGAATGGAACACATGTCTGATGAGGACAGGGCATCTCGCGATCTTCCAGCTGCAACATTAGTAAGAGATACATTTTACATTCTCAGTACACTGCATGTGTGCACACAGCCACAGGCTGCAACAGACTCTTGGACAGATACTTTAAACCTGTGCCATGTATGCGCCAGTTGTTGCAAGCAGGCTAGGCTGTTACACAGCAGGGGGTTCTGTTCCTACCTTGCTTGTAGGATGTCCTCCTGCACAGGGCATGGCCCTGTGGTCCACCGTAATGAAATGATAACCGCGGACTCTAAGGGACTGGTGAAGGGATGTGAGTTCATGACCCCCAGATATTCTGGTCATTTTTAGAGGGTGGCTTTCTATAGAAGGGGGTTTATAATAATTAAAATTTTGGGTAATATAAAAGGTTAAGAATTCCTCCAGCTGTTTCTTGCATTCTCGTTAGAAACCTGTTTATTTGGAAAATTCTGTTCATGCTTTTGTTCACCTCCCCTTTTTGAAGGAAAATGATGCTCTTGCTCTACGAAGAAGGCCTCCGAGTTGTCATTCATACCTCCAACCTCATCCGGGAAGACTGGCACCAGAAAACCCAAGGGTCAGTAGGGCCCTGCACTGCATGGCAGGCCTTTATGCTGGGAAAGGGCAAAGGCAAATGCTATTTGCATTCCTTTTACTTTCTGCTTTTCTACCTGTGCAAGTGATAGGCATGTGCGTAGAAAGGGCATTCCAGCAACAGCCATGGGATTTTCTTTTGCAGGGCACTGTACATGCTCTACCTGAGCCACACCCCATCCCCTCAGTCCTCTACTGCTCCCTGGCCTCCGCCCTCTCTCTTGAGGTTGCTAGTGTTAACAACTTGGCGCAGAATCGTCTGTGACCGTCACTGTGTACAGGAACATTAACATGCACGTGGTTTGTGAAGTTTATTTATTATAGTCTCTTTTTTAGTTTGAGAATTTCTCACATGCATATAATTTTTTTTTTCAAGACAGGGTTTCTCCGTAGCTTTTGGTTCCTGTCCTGGAACTAGCCCTTGTTGACCAGGCTGGCCTCGAACTCACAGAGATCCTCCTGCCTCTGCCTCCCGAGTGCTGGGATTAAAGGCGTGCGCCACCACCGCCCGGCTGCATATAATTTTTTAAACTTAATTCTACCCCTTAGTTCCTCCCATGTGTACTCCAGCCACTTTTCCCTCTCAACTTCGCATGCTCTTTTTATTTTTTTAAGCCTACTAAGTCCACTTAGTGCTACCCTGTATGTGGGACTGGGACCATCTACTGGTATGGGAAGGCAGTGTAGAGAAGTGAGTTTTGTTCTGTTTGATCCCTGTGTGCATGTTTGTGTGTGAGTAGGGACACATGTGTGCCACCATGCACATGTGGAGGTCAGATGATAACCTAGAGTGTCAGTCCTCAACGTCAGCCTTGTTTGAGACTGGGTCTCTTGCTGCTATGTACACCAGGCTAGCTGGCCCAAGTTTCTGGGGATTCTTCTGTCCCCACCTACCATCTTGCTGCAGGATCACTGGGATTATGTGTGTGAGTTACCGTGCCTGGTCTTACATGGTCTGTGATTATGTGTTACTCTCATTAGTTAATAAAGAAACTGCCTTGGCTTTTTGATAGGGCAGGATTTAGATAGGTGGAGTAGGCAGAACAGAATGCTGGGAGAAAGAAAGCATAGTTGTCCAGACACCATGGAGTCAGCCACCAGGTCAGACATGCTGAATCTTTCCCAGTAAGCCACCGCTTCGTGGTGCTACACAGATTATTAGAAATGGGTTAAGCAAGATGTGAGAATTAGCCAGTAAGAGGCCGTAACGAATGGGCCAGGCAGTGTTTAAATGAATACTATTTGTGTGTTGTTATTTCCGGGGCAAAGCTAGCCGTGCGGGAGCCGGGCGAGATGAAAAGCAGACCTGCTGGCCTCATCACTACAGCGGGCGTTTGTCTAGCTTCATTTCAGGACCCCAGAGTGCTCGGCTGCTCGCCCCCCCCCCCCCCCCCCCCCCCCGCTCACATCTGCAGTGTTGCTGCCTAGCCTGGGCTACAGCTACTTTGGAAAGTCTTCCCTCTGACGAGCTTTCCTAAGCCTCAAAGAGCCCATGGGATGAGCTGAAATACGGAGCCTTCCAGCACGTCCTCTGGGCCTGCTGTGACCTCAGTGTGGCCTCAGAGTTTCTAGTGTTCCTAAAAGTAGGTTTATAGTTCACATAGGTCAGACTCAAAGCAAGAAGAAGTGAACTGTCCTCTGGCGTGCCTCCACCAGCCACCCTAGTACAGGACCCTGTCGCCCTCTGCTTTGCCTGCTCTGGATTCTCTCTGATACTTTGCATTTCCTGTTGCAATTAAGAAACAACAGCAAAGCTCAAGAGGCGGCTAGAAATTGCCATCCACTCTTCTTGCAGAGGACCTAGGTTTGGTTCCCAGCTCCCATGTGATGGCTCACAGCCATCTGGATTCTTTCTCCTGTTCCAGGGGATCCGACTCCCTGGGACCTTTGTAGGCACTGCACACACATGGTGCACATACACAAACGCTCATGAAAATAAAATCTTTTAGAAAAGCAAAACCTGTAAGGCACCTTCCATGTGCAGTCTTCCCTGGTCAATGGTCTGCTCTGGCCGAGCTTGGTCCCTACGATGCAGAAGTTCCAGCTGTCCTCAGCTATTGCTTGAACACCTGTTCAGGTCTCAGAACTCACATTGTTTACTGGGTTCAAGAATTGGCTCCACAATTAAGAACACTTGCTGCCCTTGCAGGAGATTCAAGTTGATTCCTAGCAGCCGTATCAGGCAGCTCACAACTGCCTGTAACCCCCGTTTCAAGGGATCCAATGTCCTCTTCTGGCTTCTGTGAGCATCTGCATGCATGTGGTACCTACACCCGTACTCAGGCACATGCACATATAAAGCAAATGATGAAAATTCCGAGTTCTTGACCCAATGTACTGTTCTCGTGTCACCTCGCAAAGTATTAAGAACGCTTCCTTTCTCAGTGTCCTAGTTTAGAAAGTTACCTCCTGTCCCGGTCCTATCTGGAACTTGTCTGTTAGCGAACCTCTTGCTCTTAGGCTCAGCGGCATTGATGGGGGGCTACCTCACACGTCTGTCTAGTCTAGCTGGTCACTTTACACCCAGAGAAGTCATAGACCCTGCCCGCAATGGCAAAGCCAATGAGGAGCAGATGTGGTCCAGATGTGGGCGCCAGCCTTAGGCAGCCCTGCCCTTCCTGTACTAATTTCCCCCAAGGTAAGCAGGGAATGAGTGAAATGCCCCTCTGCTGAGAAGGCATGGATTTCAGACCCACAGCGAGGGGTTCTCGTCCAGCCTGCCGCGCATCCCGGTAGCTGGTAGCCCACCTGCTTCCTCGGGGAGCAGCTGCATAGAAGAGGAATTGGGCCATTTTTGTTGGGCTTGGTGGGTAGAACTACAGGGGCAGTGGCCACAAAAGGGAAAGATAGTGACAACAAATATGGTCTGGGGGCTGACCTAACCGTTCGTTGCCTCTTAGGGCTCCTCCTTTTGAGGGCAGAACTCTTAATCTGGTTTTGCATTGAAGAACATCTAATTCTAGAGGCGCAAAGCCGTACTGTTTTTTGTAATCTTCTTATATCATATTGTGTTGTATCTTTTGGCTTTATGATTATTTCTGAGATGAAAGTCGTCTTACCACTGTTAAATGCTTAACAGTTTGAAGCTAATGTTAAATGTGTTATATACTCATTCCAGACACAGCATGTATAGGACATGAAAATATCTCAAACCACTATAGAATGTACATTATATTTTTTAAAAAAAAATTCTTACTGAAAATAATCTTGCATATACATTTTTCTTGGTATGGATAGCTTTTGATTCTTAGTTTGACTAAAGAGCTACACTGATAAGGACCTGGTTTTACATCAAGAGATAACATCCAGAAATAATTCTGTGAGGGGAGTCATTGGATCAATGTGATCCAATCTGTTTCCTCCTGCCAGACATCCCTTAGTCTTCATGTAAAGACAGTGGCAGGGATTCACCTCTTTGGGTGTATAATCATCACAGCGGCATTGTTACAGTGAAAGCTCCTGGATGTTAATTAAAGGTTATTTTCTTTCCATTCTAGAATATGGTTGAGCCCTTTGTACCCACGAGTTGACCCGGCAAAGCACACATCCGGAGAGTCAAGCACCCACTTTAAAGCTGACCTCATCAGTTATTTGAGGGCGTACAATCTTCCCCCTCTCCAGGAGTGGATAGACGCCATCCAGGAGCACGATCTCTCTGAAACCAAGTATGTGTCCCCTTACCAGTATGGGAAGCTGAAGTTGCAAGCCATAAAGGTCTGGAAGGCCGGGGCCCAGGGGAAGGAGTATTTGACTGTGCTGCATGGGAGGCTGAGGGGATGAGAACAGATCTGATCACTCCATGGCTCTGGTTCACGGCATTAAGGTGGCAGTGGGTCTATGCCTCCCGCTTGGGTACTGGTAGCATTTCTTGGTTTAGCCAAGAAGGACCTTCAGAGCAGCGGTTCCCACTGAGGAGGCATGGCCCTAGAGTGAACTGGCCCCTTGGACGCTTCCATTATGTTAGTTCTTATGTGTTTTCTGTGGGTTTGTGGTATTATAGCACAACTTGCACCTTACTTTATTGTATTTTACTTTATTTAGTGTTTACCTTGTCGGTTCAACCCCTGGACGCTTTCAAGGAAGTCACAAAGATAACTGGGGACATTTTAGGCTTAGGAAGGTAATAAAACTTTTCCTGTTTTAACATTTAAAATAATATAATGTGTATTCTTTCTCCCTTTTCATTTATGATGGTGGTTCAAATCCCAGCCAGTGATATACAAGCCTTGTGGTCTTAACTTCTTTCTCAGCCTGCCTCTTGTCGGCTGTGGAATGGACAGAACTGTGTCGAGTAGCAGGTGTAAAACAGAGTGTCCTGTAAGCAGGGGGCTTGGGGACTGGCACTTGGTGTCCAGCCTAGGTAACAGAATGCACTTGTGTGCTCACAAATCCTGCAGGTTGAGCAGCATCGGCAATGTTCAAGACACTTCTCCTCACAGCCCATGCTGTGCCAAAGCTTAGTTCCAGAGCAAGCAGGCAAATCAGAATGTATGTGCTGAGACGGGAGGGAGTCTAACAGTGCTCTCCTTAGCATTGAAGTTTTTCAGGAGCTGAGCCCTGATGGATACTGGGTCTGAGAGCTGTCAGTTCAGTTCTGTTTCTCACAGCATGCTGCAGTACATGGAAACTGAGAGGGGTGTGTGTGTGTGTGAGCGCGCGTGTGTGCGTGTGTGTGTGTGTGTGTGTGTGTGTGAGCGCGCGCGTGTGTGTGTGTGTGTAAATATTACTGCCTGAGCTATGGAAAGGAAGGTAATACAAAAAGGTAATACATATTAAATTCAACAAAACATCAATCAGAATATGAGTTCCACTGGGGCAGGAGCTGTCCACATTCTTCTTGCTGTCTGCGCCTCTAGGGAGTACATGTTTAAGTGGATAAAATTTCTAAATACTTGTTCATTTATTCCTTCAGGTTTGCATAAGTGTCAAGGCAGGAAATGCAGACCAGCCATCTGCTGTGCTGTAGGTGGTTCATACCCATGTGTAAATATCCCTTTCATATTAGGCAGCCACACTGGAGGCCAAGGATTTGTCTCTGCTCCCACCCCTACACCCCTTAGGCTCTTGCATATGCTAGGCTAAGCCTGCCACTGCGCAGCTGCACCCCAACCCTGGAGCACAGTGCTTGGGCGAGAGAGCTAGAAAGGGAGCAGGCCGGAATGGACAGTGGTTAGTCATGTCGGTTCAGTTCAGGTATATTAGACAACTGTGATTTCAGAGTGTGTTTATCTTCATATTTCTGCTAAGATGGGTCTTTGAAAATGTTTGTTCTGCTTTTGTTTTTAATGCAAATCAAAGAATTGTAAAGACTTCCTGTCCGTATATGTCTTAGTTAGGGTTCCTATTGCTGTGAAGACATGGCCAGGGCAACTCTTTTAAAGTAAAACATTTACTTGTGGTGGCTTGCTTGTAGTTTCAGAGGTTCAGTCCATTATCATCATGGTGGGGAGCATGGCAGTGTGCAGAGTCCTACATCTTGCAGGCAACAGGACGTTGATTAACACACTGGGTGGTATCCTGAGCATAGGAAACCTCAAAGCCCGCCCGCACAGTGACATACTTTTGCCAACAAGGCTACCCTCTCCAACAAAGCCACACCCCCTAACAGTCCCGATAAGATTTGGGGGCCAATTGTATTCAGACTACCACAGCATAGTGGGGTGTGGAGGGGACACATCCTTTTAGTATTTAAACATAGTTCCCAAAGAAGAAAGCATCTGTGAGCATGCTGCTGACTGCTAATGTCTTCAGGGTTTCTTTGTAAACACGGTCCGTGTGTTTAGGGCACTTCAGTTCCTATTGCTCCTGCTGTGACTGTTGCACTCGTTTTTATTGTGGAGCAGGTTCTGCGAGCGCATGCCCCATCTGTACCCAAAGACGAGTGCTGGCCCATCGTGGGTCAGTTTTCAAGCATTGGTTCTCTGGGGCCTGATGAGTCCAAGTGGCTGTGCTCAGAGTTTAAAGAGAGCTTGCTGGCACTGAGAGAAGATGGCGGAACTCCAGGGAAAAGTGCAGCTCCTCTTCATCTGGTGAGCCCTCTGTGGTCCAAAAGAACTGAGAAGCAGCCTTCCTTATCACAGTGTGTTAATCTGTGGGGTGGGGAGGGAGCACCATCTGTGGGCCTGGTGCCATCCAGGGCGAGGGCTTCTGCCGTGTTCAGGAGCCTCGGTGTAGACACGGACTCACTGTGCTTTCCTCATTCTTCTTTCAACTTGTCGAGCCAAGGAGAGAAATGCCAGGTTTACCACTGCAGAAGAATTATATGCTCTGTTCGTTGTGTAGAGACCTGTGAATTAATGATTAATTTTACATTCAATTCAATATTAATTTGTCATTTCAGAGAGAAAAACATTTAAATTAAAATATAATTTTTCATCAGTTAGATACATGCTTCCTGTAGATTAGTTATTACCTGTTTAGTTTTCTAGTAAGATGGGGATTTTCTTTTAATTTAAGATATAATTTCTTTCTAATTTTTAAAAAAGAACTATCAACATTCCTTTCTTTCAACCTGATTCATGCCCATGTTTCATTGTTTTTCTCTTTTCTTGTTTATTTTTAGATCTATCCTTCTGTGGAAAACGTGCGGACCAGCTTAGAAGGATATCCTGGTAACTCGGTTGTGGTTTCTCTGTATATTCTGAAGTGCCTTGGGGCATGTTTTGTTTTGTTTATTTTTCATCAGAGTTGGTTAGCAATGTGGAAATGGTTTTCCCTTATCCAGATAAAGCTAATAAGACAGGTGTTGTTGAGCCCAGCGTGTTCCAGAGCAGGGCAGTTTAGGCTTGCTGCATCGCTGTCAGAGTGACTCCCCCGCAGATGCTTTCCCTCGGTTTTACTAATGCTTATTTAGAAGTAATCCAACGTGTTGATTGTCCAGACAAGCATCCAGCCAAACTGAGCTCCCCTGCACTCCCTGCTGCCTTGACAGCTTGGCTAGCATCCTTCCCTCTGCCCGTGTCAGAGGTTCCACATAGCCCTTCCAAATTTACTTTCCAAGATATAGATACATTTCAGGCCTAGAGCTAGTGATTATTATTACCTTTTGTATAACTTCGTTGATATGTCATTTTTCAGGGGCCTCACCTGCAAACGCCTAGTCTTATTTTCTTAGGGGGAAAAGAATCTCTCAACTTCATTCTTCTCTTTTTCCACTACTAAGCACTGAACTTTTAAACAGAAGCAGCCTCTATAATGCCATCAGGTTATTAACAAAAGCCCCAGAGAGTATGCCTCTGAAAAGAAACTAAGCCTGATTGGCATTCATGACTGGCTGGTAGCAGAATGTACTAAATTAAAAGCAATTTTGCCCATTTATTGCTTATGAAATTAAATGTGACCTTGCCAAAAGAATCTTAAGAAGGTTCAGGGTATATTTGTCATTTGTTTCTTTTTAATGACAAAATAAAATTACTTCACTTTGACTCAGAGACATGGGTAGTTTTTCTTTCTGTGCTTCTAATAGCCTAGGTCTATTTGAAGTGCAGCTTTAATGGGGGAGAACGTGGCATTCTCAATGAAGCAATTTTATAAGTGATTCTGCAGTGGAATATGTTTTTAGCTATTTGCAGTAGGAGAAAGGACATACCTTATTGAACCCTGGGATTGTCTAAGGCCCTCTTGGCACATAGATTACTGTGGGGAAATCCTGCAGTGTGTTTGGAAAAATCTCTGGTGAATCTACAGTGGATTTTTTGTATCTTCCAGTTCTGAGAACCTCCCTGCCTGCCTGTTTGGAAATGGCAGTGTAAAGGCTGTGCAGGCAGCACTGGACTTGTCAATCACTACCTTCCCAGATGTCCTACCGAGGACAAAAACCTAGTGCTGTTTCATACCTCCCTATGGTTGTAAAGCAGGCTCGGGTTCTCCCTGTGGTCTTTTCGAATACTTTCAGTATGTGTAGCTAACCTTTTCTTCTCGGACAGTAAGCTGTTTATGTGTCTCCCCTTCCAGAGAAGAGAAGCCATAAAGAAAATGTCCCTAATTTGAGTTCTGGTAGTATAGACCTTTGATCCCAGCCACTCTGGAGGCGAGGCAGGATCACAAATTCAAGGCCAACCTGGCCTACAGAGTGAGATCCAGGCGAGCCTAGGCAACTTTGTGAGACCGCAAAGAGCGCTGGGGATGTAGCTCAGTAGCAGGGCCTTGCCTGGCCTGTGTGAGCACAAAGACAGAAACACAGACAGAGGTGACGTGTCTGGTGGAAGCGTGGACATTTTCTCTCAGTGAACTATGACCTGAGATGAAATAATGGAAGGTGGTTTGTCAGTTACCTTCTCACTGTTTAGAGAGATCTTCTTCTTAATGAAGATGCCTCAAATTATATTTCATTATTTTTATTTGTTTTCTTTTCCTTCTTTTAAAAGCTGGGGGCTCCCTTCCCTATAGCATCCAGACAGCTGAAAAACAGAATTGGCTGCATTCCTACTTTCAGTAAGTAGTTGGTTCTCAGTGCTGCTCTCGCTTCGTCAGGACCAAGAGTGTTGTTGGTCTGTTCTTTTAAAAAGCACCTTATATAACACGGCTATTCTTTCATCTACATATGTTAGTGATAGAAATAATTTAAAACAAGGTTTTGAAAACTTTTGGAATAGGTTTTTAATACCAGGGTAAAATTTATATCTCTGTGAGGTTTCTATTTAAATATTGGCAGGCAAAGAAAAAGATAAATAAGAGATCCTGTAGTTTATGGTTTACATAAGCAGCGTCTCGTTCACTTTGCTGAAGCATGAAGTATAACCTTCTCAACTATATATGTAGGCCGTGGGCCACGCTGGCTGAGGGTGGAGTCCCTGCCTCTGTCTCCAGGAGAAAGACGGTGTTTGGTGAAATAGGTGATGGATGGGAAGGGAAGGAAAGGCTTATCCTTCTCCTTTTCCAGCTACAGAACTTGCCTGCCCGAATGTTCTAGACCAAACCCAATGTCTTATTCACTTTAGTAGGGCCTTTTGCAGCTGGGCAGCCAGAAATGGGGGTGGGAGTCCATTTCCATAGCTTTCTGCTGACATTCCTATTGACCAGCTTCATTTCTGTCGTGTTCTCCCCAAATGGAGAGTTGTCCTTCCAGAGCAGGCTCCTTTCAGTTTCAAACTCCTAGGTTCCCTCTGATGAAGAAAATGGGGGCCTTCATAGTCCTGATTCTTTGCTGGCAAACTGCCTGTTAGCTTGAGGGATTATCCTCTTCCAAGCCAGAATCACGGCCTCTTGAAGAAGGCCATGATGCCTTGGAACCTTAGTCCTCAAATGTTGGAAACGTGGGAATTATACTCAAAGCCAAACTGAAGCATTTGTGAGTGATCCTCCTGCCTTTTTAGCTCTTCCCTGCTATATATTGTATTTCACTCACTTTGTTCCTTTGGGTAGCCTCTGTGGGAGCCACTACTCAGTAGTTTGCCTTATAGGGCACTATAGGCTTCCTGCTGCCAAGAGCTCACAGCCAGAGACCTGTGTACACATGTGCAGAAAAGCACAGTGAAACCAGTGTAGTGCACATGTGCATGCTGGTGTCTACACGTGTGCATGCATGCATGTGTGCTAGTTAGCACGTGAAAGGACAAGAAACTCCATGTCCAGGGGTTTCATGTTTTGTGACTCATGCTAAATTTCCTTTTTTGACATCCTTACTTTTCAGAATGATTATATGTTCTTCTGTCATCTAAACAGTTCCATCAGCCACCACAAGTCATGGACCATGCTCCTACTGTCTCCTTAGATAGGATGTTGCTTTTTGTGCAGCTCGCTAGTATATAAGAATTTTGTCTGTCTTGAATTATTTTCTAATAGTGGTTTACGTCTCTCCTGTCACTAGCAAGTGGTCAGCAGAGACATCTGGCCGGAGCAACGCCATGCCACATATTAAGACATACATGAGGCCTTCATCAGACTTCAGTAAACTGGCTTGGTTTCTTGTTACAAGGTAAAGGGACCTTAAATGTCTCACGGGAGGTCTTGTAATTTCTGCTCTGAAATTGAGTGGAGTCCTGGAAAGTGTTCTGTGAAGTGTCGTTCGTTCTCAGCTGCTTCTGTCACTGAACCTTAAAGGAGGCCTGTGACTAATGTCTTATTGAATGTGTGACTGTCGCCTGGTTTTACACGTCTATCTGATGTCTATAAGATTTGCATAAACTTCGGATTGACTTCCTTTTATATGCTGTAATAATAATAATAGTGATTAAGCAAACTGACATTTAGGGTAAATACAGAAAAAAACCAAAATGTTGAAATGATTCTATTTTTCTTCTATTAGTGTCTCTTTAGATAATTAAAACTTGAGCAATCAAATCTCTCATGTGCCATTTGAAAAACATCTTTATTATGATAGAATTCATATACCATAAAATCTGTGCATTAAAGTCTACAATTTAACAGTCTTAACATGTTCACAGAATTGTACAACCATCACCATAATCTAATTTTAGAATATTTTAATCACCCCAAAAGGAACTCCCTACTCACTGACATTTTTGTTTCTTTTTTTTTAAAAAAAGATAAATTGCTTTGCCCTTTGGAAAACAGAGCTGTGACTAGAACATTAGTGCCTCGCTCCTAGTCAGAACCCAAGCACTGGGCATCTCTGGGATTCAGTAACCTAATTGGTGCCAATCACAACTAATTACACTGTCACTGAGTGGGATCGATGCTTTAAGACTGAAATGGTACCAAGTACATACTTCTAAACAAATAAACATTGTCACTTTTTGTGGCTAACATTTGTGCCTGGCTCAGGTAAGAAATACTGACTCAAAGAGATGGTTGATAAACACAATGACAGAGGGGCATCCTAAAGGCTTTCGCAGCCTCAGAGCATAATGAGAAAACATACTTTTGAGCTCTAAAAATAAGCGTTCAGGATGCTTTTCTGTCATTTGGTAGCTATATGAACTTGGGCACTTTATTTAATCTGTGTTTGTTTCCTCGTCTGTAAAAGGGAAGAGGTAATGGCTACAGTGGGACTAGAGTGAGCAGTAAATGAGGTGTCAGAACCGGGTACCTGGAATAGAACATGTCCGCAGTGTGTGGTGGCAGTGGCTGTGCACAGTGAGCAGACATGCAGGCAGAATGCTCACACACATTAGATTGTTTTTCATTAAAGAATGTCTGATCTCCCTCCTAATAGCTGGCCATCATTAAGCAGCTTTCTACCCTTATAAGGGTATCCCCACCTTCAGTAACTCCTAAATCTGTGGAGAGGCCAAGTCATCCTCTTTAATATTTCACAGTATACATGTCTTTCTTTTCTTTTATGTGGTTATTTTATGGAGAAAGTTCTCATAATGTAGCTCAGGCTCACCTTAAACCCATGGTAATCCTCCTGCTTCATCCTCCCTAGTGCTGGGATTGCATGCATGAGCCACCAGGCCTGGCTCAGTGCTCATGTGCGTGTGTGAGTACGTGTGTGTGTGTGTGCTTGCATGTGTGAGCAGTGCTAGACACTTACCTCTCTCTCCTGGATGCTGGGATTAAAGGGGGCGATCAAGCCCTGCTCAGCATGTATTCCAGTTGGTGGTAAGACACACCACATCATTTCTGCATTCAGGAAGTCCAGTGAGCTCTGCTCATAGGATCTATGTGAGTGGCTTTGGTTGATAGTCAAATAAAGCATGGTCCTTGTTGTTCATAAAAGGCACTAAGTAATGCCCTGTTCTTTCTATATTTCCACTACCTGCTTGTGGAGAGGATGAATCATGTGCCCATCAAGATCTCATGATCATCAGATTTCAGGGAAGGCAAAAAACAAAGTACTTACTCTAGTATGAGTTTTCATTTAAGGTATAATAGGGTAGGCAAGGCCAGTAGTATATGAGAGAGAGATCGATCAGATCAGGCCTATAGCAAATGCAGAGATGTTTGGAGCGTGACTTAAGGAATCAGAGAAGCTGGCCCTAGGAGGCAGTGTTTAAGCTGATGCTGATGAAGGAGAATGCTGCAGCCCAAGGGAAGAGCTCACTGGGCAAAGGGCAGCTCAAAAACAGCTCTCAGGCTGGAGAAAGTGTGGAAGGTCGAGCTCTTCCTGTGCTGATATGCAGAGCTGATCCAGATAACAGGGGCCCTGAATGGCAGTGGCATCATCTGCTAAGTGTGTTGAAAGCTAGGTCAGGCTGCTGCACGGAGAGTGGGAGGGAGAAACGTGGACAGCAGAGGTTGGCAGCCACAGGGCCCGTGTTGTTGGTGGGGAAGGACAAACTCCCCAGGATGGGGAAGACTCTGTAGACTGTACTTCAAGACCTCCGTCAAGGGAGCGACTTGAAGTGGTCGGATACACACAGTGTAGAGCTAAGCAGAACCAAGCCCAGACTTTAGCTCCACCTCTTAGAATCTGTGAGTGACTGAGCCTCGCCAGACACATTTCCTGAAACACAAAGGCAAGGCACGGGAGTACACAGGCCGTCTGGTGAAGAGACAAGTTCTGCAAGCACTTGCCACCGGCGACTCAGCAGAGGACACTTCCCTAAGGGAGCCAGAGTGAGCAGCAGCCATGGCTATAGGTAACAGTGCTTACGATAAATATCTCACTGTAAGCATGTAAGCCAGCAGCTGCTGTTCGTCAGACTGGTAATCCCCCTTTACAGTAGCCACTCAGTCTGTAAATTCACGATGATGGCCAGAACTGGAGTAACTCAGATCCCTGGTCTAGCCCCTTGGTCACCTGGGTGGTCACTATCAAAATGGCAAGCCCTAGCCAGCACGGAAGGAACAACTGTGTTTCTGCTCTGCAGGTGTGTGAGGGAAGGGGCAGGAGAGAGAACTGACCCCCACTAAGTGGCCTCACTGGTCTCTTGTGGTCATCTCAGAGTTTTGTGAGATAGCATGGGCCCCACCTAGACAAGTAAGGCTGTGTGTAGAGTTGAAGCAACTCCCCCCACCACTCAGCAAACACGCATTGCCTGCATGGTGCAGGGGGAATGGAGGAAAGCTAAGCTTCTTGTTCCTTGGAATTTACGGTTAAATGAAAGGTTGATGAAACCGGCTGTGTCACGTGTGTGTTTGATCCTGGGATGTTTTCCTGACTCTTGTGCACAGGTATATTCCGATTCCCTAGTAGAGCCTGAACTTGCAGTCATTCGGTGCTTGGCTTAAGCATGGCTTCCTCAGCCGGTTGGAGTCTGTAGTCTCCTGGACCTGTACAGTTGTTTATGGGATTACTGGCTCTCCCTGTAGACTCTGAGACCAAGCCCATATCTCTCTTGTTCAGCATAGCCCAGCACCTGGCAGGGAGCCTGGCATGCAGGAGATGCTCAGTACAGATTTCTTATTTCTTAATGAAGGCAGAGTTGTGGTGGTAATGACGGAAGATCTTTCTAGACTTGATGTACAGTAGAAGAGGAGCAAAGCTTCCGCAGTGACCCCCGGAATTTGGCTGGGAGGTAGATGGGGTTCGTTGTTGACATCAGGGTAGACACTGCAGAAATGAGGAGACAGCCGCAGGAGGATGGCGAATTTGATCACTGGCTTAGCTCACTGGAAAAGTTCTTGTAGAGCACACGTGAGGTCCTGGGCTCACCCTGAGCGCACACAGAAATGGCCCAAATTTCAAGCTTATTGTGGTGAGGCCTCCAAGCGGGACTGTTCTCCACAGAGGTTTGAGGTTTTTATTGTAGTTATTTTGGGCAAGGTTTTAGTTTGGTTTCTTAGTTTCCCCTCATGCTCATCACTGATACTGTAAGTCTTCGTGACTTTTCTGGGAGCAAACAGAGCAGGCTGCTGCCTAGTTCTGAGGAACACCCAGGAAATACACATCAAGAGGACTTCTCACTGCCAGGCACACTGGCACATACTTCTAATTCAGTCCTCTGGGCCTGAAGCAGGAGGATCACTGAGATCAAGGCCAGCCTGGGCATTAAGGTAAGACCCAGTATCAAGCTAGAGGTGAGGTTTTTAATATGTTCCATTGCCAAGTAAACCATCTGTTCTGGTTGAAGGGTCACTGGCCATGTGTAATAATCTTCCTTCTACATTAAAAGGACTAATTATCTATTCATCTGGACATCATTCTTAGCAGTTATTCCGTGTATCTGTTGCTATATTGAGCACTTACTAAATACCAGCACTTTGCTAAGTGCTGGGAATATAGTGATAAACAACCATTGGCCTGGTTCTGGTGGTGGGAGTTAGATAAAAGCAAGCAGGTTGTGCGCACAGTCAAATGGGGACGAGTACAACAGAGAAAGGCAAAGCAGAACCGTGGTTTATATGCGCTGACCTTCATATGAAGCTCAGGAAGATCATAGTTCACATGCGGTCCCTTAATTGTCCTGACGGTATCTGGCCCAGTGTCCCATGGGAATTGTTTTTTGGAAGTGGCAACTTTTGAAGGAGACCCCCCCCCCCAACTATGTAGGCTTCCTTCTGGACTCCAGATCAGATACAGATCCCACCCGAACACCTTTTTTCACAGAGAGATCCTTTGTTATGTGGGAGGAAAAGTTAAAATGGTTCTTTCTGACTCAGGCAGAAAACAACAGCAAATGACCTTGCAGGTGTCATTTTTAAGAGGAGGAAACGGAGAGTTCTGTGTTAGAACAGGCTAGGATGTGGTGGTCAAGGAGATAGGGAACAAGGGAGAAGGGGAAGGGACAAGGAAAGGGGAGAAGGGTTATTTGTCCCAGAGGTATAAAGTACTGCCTCTGGATAGAGGGGAGACAGACATGGCACATAGACAAATGGCTGTTTATGAAGGTAGAGGGGGAAACCGCATGTTGGGATGAGGTGTTTAATTCTAATTGGGCGTGTTAATTAGGAGAATCAAAGGGGGCTTCTGATTGCTGGACTTTGGTAGTCAGCCTCAGGAGGAAGAAGTGGCCAATAAGGAAACAGACCTTGGTGACTAGCTTCAGGAATGTCCTCTAATGGTTTTAGCAAGGCTGAGGGAGTGGAGGAGAAGGACAAGGCCTGCCAGAGCCATGCTCACTGTGCTCA